TRCSMWAAAKKKKAYYYYAKRAAAAMRRWAAWWAAATTACTGCGAAAGTTTTATGATTGGTCGTATAATGCTTGGTTATCTTTGGGGCAGTGACCATTGTCTTTCATCTGCTTTTTGCCATTGACACTGTCTTAAGTCTTGCTTGATTACGGGTAACTCCATTTTCAAGAATTTTATGCTTCTTAATTTCCGCTAATACTATGCGTACCATTCAAAGCTGAGTCCTCTAAGAGTGAGGCCAGTCCAACGAGGTTAAGCACTCATCCAGGATTGAGTCAACCTCATTCTCAGGGTTTATTTCTCATCTTTCCTCTGGAAGTCACATGACCAGCCCAAACCAGGGTCCCTCTTCTCTCGCACCGGAGGCAGGAAGATGAGAGACCCTGGGAACGAGGCTGGGTTTATTGGGCGGTAAAAGTCAAGTAAAAAAGCGATGAAAAGCCGGAATAGAGAACTTCACTGCAAGCCATGGATAAACCTTATCGTATTTCGTCTAATGTAGGTGCTCTGAGGCTATTTACGCCCTCCATCCTCATACCCCCAGATTTGTTTACCGGGCATCAACGCAACCTCGTTCCCAGGGTCTCTCATCTTCCCGCCCCCTGGAGCGAGAGCAGAGAGACCCTTGGTTTGGGCTGGTCACGTGTCTTCCAGATTTTAGCAGATTACAAATTAGCGGCTTGAGGGAGGGGTAGATAAGTAGTAATTTCTCTCCACTTAGTCCACTGGCGAGCGTAGCTTGTCGGCAATCAAAACAAACTACACGTAAAGTGCTTCGAACCGGCTGGGAATATTCAGTAGGCGCCCAAAAAGATCAGTAAATCTTCCATTACGTTAAATATCAGTTGTTACAGGCTTTGTAAATTAGTTGGAGACGTATCTTCGTCGAAGAATACTTACGCAAAAGAAAATCGCGCATTACTTGGCGCTGCTGAGGACATCTATGGCCGGCCGTTGAGACAGAAAAATTTTGCTACATCTATTATGTAGGCATTGCGAAAGACGCTTGCTTCAAAACGGTGATTANAACAACCGTCATGAGCGTCCGTGAACTGTCCGTGAAACTGACAGGCAGCCCGGTTCAATATCTCACAATTTTAAGCCGCAGCTACAAGAGCGATTTTTTTCTTGCGATGGTGATGTAATTCTATCTAACTTTGTCGCGTCGCCAGCGCGCAGCGCAAATCACCCGTGTAACCTCCCTCGCGCAAGTGCTGTAATGGCGACAGCTACTACATCGCTGAAAAAAATCGCGAGAAGTTTGATGAGTTGAACCTTTTTTTTTCACTCTCTCCCCTTGTGCCGCTAATTCGACACGCCGACAATATTGCGACGATATGAAATTCATCTTCGCAGAGTCTCGGCACAATTCCTTCAGCACAACAAACAACTGTTGTTTATCCCATTTATAATTTAAAGCAAATAATGTCATATTCTATTGATTATTGCACCTTCCGGTATAAACAGTCGCGTTAATGGCACCAGGCAGATTGAAGTTGAGAATTTATAAAAATAGAAAATGCTAAAAATAAATCTTTTGGATAACCTGGCGTCAAACTACTCAGTTTTCTGTAGAGTTTACGAAAGGAAACTTTTCATCTTTTTTTTATTTTTCAGGTCTGATTTTCGCTATTGCATAAGTAGCGTTCTCTACTGCGAGGATCGTGCATCATACGTATCTATAACCGCAGTTCAAAATATATGAACTTCATATATTCACCGTATCTAAGCTAAGTTACTTCACATACCACTGCAAAAGTACATTGATAGTCTCACTCTAAATCGTGAGACAAACGATGGAATGGTTATTTCTCTTCACTCGTCTGCTCAAAATTCATGATAAAACCGGAAAAACATTGCATCAATTTAATTACAATGCTATCATCTGACCTTTCTCTGTGGATCTTAACACAAACTGAGGCCTTGATAACTATCGCTATTATATACGGAAACCGAATCCAATAATTGTTTTATTGCGCATATTCCTGAGCTGCACTGGTAAAGGCAAGAGCGCCTAAAACTATCCTTTATAGGTATGACGTGAAAATAAACGATTTATTCACTAAACGCAACGAAAAGCTTTGACATTACATTTCTGATTCCGATTATCTCAACCCGAACGTGGAGCTTACGTTTTTGCAGTACGTCATAAACTCGCACACAGTCTCCACTCACTTGAACCCAGTGTCCACTCACTCAATACGCAACGCCTTACACAAATTGAAAACAAAGTAACACGGAACATAAGTTTTCAGTTCGGAACATGACGTCACTTCTAAAAGTATAAAATCTATTGTCTGTAGGTATGACGTAAAAATCTTATTAGACGTTTTGTTGTGCAGTATCGTTGAGTATTTTACGAGTTGTGCCGTATTTTGATGAGCCCGTAAGGCGAGTCGAAATAGAAATAACGAGTGAAAATACTCAGCGATACCACACAAAAATCGTCTAAGTTATTTGTTATCTAACACGCCAAATTGTTATTTCAGTGCGGGCAAATTTTGCGGATATTTATTTACGAGGAGTGCGTGACAAAAGTATGCGAAGCGGAACGGAATTGGCGCGTTATCGTGTTGCTGTTTCTATTTTCTTCAATAAATGAAGAAATTTCCTGGTCGTCTAGTTGTTTTTCTTCGTTAGATTTATCCTATAGACTCGTATCTATATTTGCAAGCCATTCCGACACTTCGGTCCCATAATGATATGATTCAAATTGTCCGCCATTTTTTTTTCGTAACTTCAATCCTGTATCACAGGGGACAAGAGCCAACGTTTATCAAATCTAAATCGGTGTCAATAACAAAGAACCCAGATGAAGCCATGCGAGATATTGATTTCGTAGTCTTTATCCTGCCTGCGTTTTCCCATGAAGATTATCTGAATGCCCTTAAACCTCACATCAACCCTGGAATGACCTTGATTGGTTTACCTGGTGGACCTGGGTTTGATTTTCAAGTTCGTTATGCACTGGGCGAGACAGCGCAGCANAAATAGTTATTCTTGAATTCACTCATTTCTGGTTTCATTCTGCATGTGAACTCGCCGATGATTTCGTAGTTAAAACTGTCCATCATTACCAGATCATGCTCTTGTGGGTTTTCACTGTCTAGGTCGATAGAAAAGAAGGTCAGACTTATCAATTTAATTGATATTATCCAAATTCAAAATTAATTTTTCTCGGAAACAAATAGGAATATCGAAAAAGTCTCATATTCTTTTCATCTTTAAGTTTTTATTCTTTTTAAGCCATTTATCTGCCGATTGATACAGTACAGTCTGTTTGGATGGCCGCGGTAACGCATATTAAAAAAAAGTTAGTTTTGTCTTTAAAGGCTTGCGCGTGCCCAACAAAAGAAAAATACCAAAATCTGATTTTACCAGAGTCTAAACTTTACAACCTTTACAGTTGTATATTTTTTAGTCTTTTATCTTCCGAAGGATACAGTCCTGTTTGTTTGGATGGCCGCCGTAACGCGAATTAAAAAAAAACGTCAGTTTTGTCTTTAAATGCTTGCACGTGCCCACCAAAAGAAAAACATCAAAATTTGATATTACCAGAATCTATACTTTACAATCTTTACAGTTATATATAGTTTTCCTTAGTCGTTTTTAAAGTGATGCGCGTAGAACGATTTTTCTGGAGGGCAACACTTTTTTGTTGACGGTAACCTGAAAACAACATTTTCCGGTGATGACGGATAGTTTAAAAGGTATTCTTAAGATAAAAAAACGCCCTAGTCCCCCCAGGGCGTAAAAAAGTTGGAGGACAGTGTCTAAGGAAACATCTTCTTTTGTCAGAATCAGTATAATCACCTCTTCATTAGATGTCAGTTAGTCATGTTACAGGACATCGTGGAACTACAGGGAGTGTCAACGTAGCAGAAAAAAAATATTACAATATACCGTATCGAATTTGAAATATGGACACAAAATCAATTAGCTTGTCTTTGCAATATAAACCATATCTAATTCTTGTGGCCCATAATGAACAACTCTTAGATCACATTATCATGTTATTCAACTAAGGAAGGAAGTGAGAAGCTAAAGAAGGACCCAGTTTACAATCTGCAGTACCTCCTGGGGCCGCTCCCAGTATTGGATGGCTCAGGTCATATGTTGGGCGTTCAGTTAATGAGTGTTAATGCCTACCTGCACACCTCAATAATGTACGGCCAGTGGAAGGATTGGGACGGGGACACTGGGGACGAGCCGCCTTTGTTCTATCGTGGCTTGACCGAGTCAGCTGCCACCCTTCTCTCCAGCATTGCAGAAGAGATTGTGAAAATTGCAAGTGCAGTCGAAATAAAGACGAAAGAAGAGATTTCAAAGGTTAGAAGGGTCTATTTATTGACTGCATATCCTCCTCGTTGTTCAAATCATACTTTTCTTCTTGTAATTGAAGTGACACTATCGATAAAAAGACCTTAAAAGATGTTCCGAATAAATCTGACTTGCCTTTGGTTACCTGAACGATCTCGGATATACTGACCCAGAGTTTTGGCCACAAATATAGGTACTAAAACTCATTTCTTACCAACTTACGTACCCACCTGGTTGCCATTGAAGCAACCGAGGTTAGTTGTTCATGACCAGGCAATGTTCAGGGTAGACATGCGCATTTCATGCAGGAGAAGATCTGTACAAAACTCTGCGAAGGAAGTGCATCGTCGATCAGTAAGACTTGCTGTCAGGAGACTATATCACTTTATCCTTGATGTCATTCTTCTGGAGAGCGAGATAAAAATTGTTATGAGGCTATCCCAAAAATATTTATTTCTTAGTTATTGGTATCTGTGGCTATTCTTCTCTACTTTTTGGCATGGCTTTTACAAAGGCAGCTAGCGTGTATTTCAAAAGAGGCGCTGATGTTAAGTTTACGATTTTATTTGTAGGTTGTGCACATTCACCTGTGGCATTTGCGTCGTCATGGCGACGATATTGTCGACAGGAGCACTCTTAAAACAGCCATACAGACCAATGCTGCCTACCAAATGATCCAACATCCAGTCAACAGCGACGGAGATGGTAAGCTCAGGCCTGATTTCAGCTGCCGTTACTTGACAGAGGATGTTCCTTATGGCTTGGTTGTCATCCGGGGTATTGCAAAACTTGTGGGCGTTCACACACCAAATATTGATCTTTTGCTGAAATGGTGTCAGCAGAAAATGGGCAAAGAATATCTTGTGAACTCAAAGGTGCAGGGCAAAGATGTCGCGTCGTCGGGGGGCCCCTCAGAGATATGGGCTGACCACACTTGAATCCATAATGTAACAGATTGGTTTGACTTGCTGTCTTCAGCGATTAATGACTTGGAATAGCGAAGTAACTTTGGTTTTAGATTGACTTCAGCCCAATGGTCTTCATCATATATTTAAGATTCGTAAAATTTATTTAATTATTTAAGACTTTGGGTTGGTTAATTATAAGAGATTGTATTGAACTCGTTAGGTAAATAAAATTAATCGCCTCGAAAATCAATATTATGTTGTCGGAGACGAAAAAATAGTTCCCTTTGTGGTATTTATTGTGATACACAATATGGTTCAACTTTGGCCGAATGGTGCATTTCACAGCCTCAGCTTTCCATTGATATATAGTTTGTAGTGGTTATGCATTGATATATAGTTTGTAGTGGTTATGCATTGATATATAGTTTGTAGTGGTTATGCATTGATATATGGTCTGTAGTGGTTATGTATGATATATAGTCTGTAGTGGTTATGCATTGATACATAGTCAGTAGTGGTTATGCATTGATATATAGTTTGTAGTGGTTATTCATTGATATATAGTCTGTAGAGGTTATGCATTGATATATAGTCTGTAGTGGTTATGTATGATATATAGTCTGTAGTGGCTATGCATTGATATATAGTTTGTAGTGGTTATGCATTGATATATAGTTTGTAGTGGTTATGCATTGATATATAGTCTGTAGTGGTTATGCATTGATATATAGTTTGTAGTGGTTATGCATTGATATTTAGTCTGTTTTGGTTATGTATGATATATAGTCTGTAGTGGTTAGGTCTCTTCAATTGACAGGTGTCACATCGTGACAGTTACTTAGAAGTGAATGGAAGCAGACAGATAGGGGTTGTCCACAAGGATCGGCCCTTAGCCCACTATTATGGAACATCTTTCAAAACGATCTGACATACGTAATTACTTCGCATCTCTTTATATACGCGGATGACCATCAAATGTATGAAACAGCGGGGGAACCGAAGATGGCGAACACCAATCTTATGAGGAATGCCAATAGGGCCTCCGAATGGTACGCTAGCAATCTGCTAAAAGGAAACCTGAGCAAATATCAAACTATGGCTTTAAAGCATAACAGGACAGAAAGTAACACTCCATTACACTTTCAAGGAAACACCATCGAATCTTCTGACTGTCTTAAGTTGCTAGGAGTCACCATAGATGAACAGTTGAATTTTAACACCCACATTAATGAAATATGTATGAAGGCGAGTCAAAGGGTAGGCGCAATGTTCAGGCTTAAAAAACTTATCCCTACCAATGCTAAATTAACTCTGTATAAATCAGCTATATTGGCTTACTTAACCTATTGGCACCTGAATTGGCATTTCTGTAGTCCTACCGACAAAAGAAAGCTCGAACGGGTCCAAGAAAGAGCACTACGCGCAGTTTTCCCAGATAAGCAATCAAGTTACCAAGCATTGCTGGATAAAAGTGATCTAACGACGCTTCTGAACAGAAGACTGCATGACATCGCTATCCTTATGTATATGGTGAAACACAAACTTTGCCCCATCAAAATATGCGAGCTATTTCACACGCATTGCTCACCCTACAACTTAAGGACGGCAGAGTTCGCCATTCCCAGGTGAAGGACCAATAAATATGGTAAACATTCGCTCACCTACCTGGGGCCAAAGTTGTGGAATAAGCTACCAAGCGAAATCAGAACTCTCCCATCATTATTTAGTTTTAAAAATCGAATTCGTAAATTTAAGATTTTAAGATCTAACGACAACTGTAACGACAATTGTAAGATCTAACGACAACTGTTCTAATTGCATCCTTTGTAATTCTTAATCTTTTTAAATAAGTTTTCCCATTAGTTGTTAGTTACTAGGTTTTTAACTATATTATATTGTTAGGTATTTTTTAAATAGTTTCATTAGAAAATAGTTGGTAAGGTGAGGTAAAGTCTGTTTACGAGCCTAGTGGCCCATCAGGCGGGTGCTTAACTCCGGTTTCTGTAGCATGAAGTGACTAGGAGTATTTCTACTTCCCCCCCCTGGATGGGATGCCAGTCCATCGCAGGGTTACCCCCAGCATTAATTTGCCGGTACCCATTTAAACACCTGGGTGGAGAGAGGCACTATGAGAGTAAAGTGTCTTGCCTAAGAACGCAAGACGATGTCCCGGCCAGGGCTCGAACCCGGACCACTCGATCCGGAGTCAAGCGCGCCAACCATGAGGCCACCGCGCCTCCGCTAGAAAATAGTTGTTAGGTTATTAATTGTGTCCCCAATTAGTAGAGGGGTTCTTAACCCTATCGGCTAGATATATCAAGACACACTAATAAAGTTTATATATGTATGTATGTCAAAAAAATGTTTCAAAATTTGCTCGGAAGCCTTTTAATTACCTTTACAAATAAAAATGTTTCGGGGAATGCTTTCTCTTTAATTTGAATAACGGTCTGTTTTCTTTATAACTCACTCGCTATCAAATTGTTAAGTTCAAGGAGGATTTTCCCGTAATTAAACTAGTAATTATAGCCCTAAATCATTCGGGTTCTTTTGACAATCACTTTTTTATGTGTTAGAAAAAAATAAGTGTTATTCATCAGCATTGGTCGAACCGTATATATTGGGAAAAACTGTGCTCTCGAGCAATATCCAAGACCTCAGGCACAGTTTTATCCAATACGGACCTCCCGGCTGGTGAATAACATATATGTATTAAGCGACGGTCCCTAATTTTGCTACAGGAACGGAAATGCCTCTGTTGACCATTGATCTCATCAAAGATTCGCGCCAAAATTGAACATTTATTTGTATTATAATTGTTGCTGGAAGATGGCAGCTTCTTTCAAGCTACCGTCTCTCGTGAAAAAACGGAAACGTCCTGTGAATTCTCCGTATTTTCGAAAGTAGGGACATAAGTATAAAAGAAGAGCTTGGAATTAGGTCCACGTTTTACTAGTCCGCGTTTCACTAGTCCACGTTTTACAAGTCCGCGTTTTACTAGTCCGCGTTTTACTAGTCCAGTCCAGTCCAGTCTGCGAAATACAACATGCCTTTGTATTTGTGGAAGTGTTTTGTATTTGTGGAAGTGTTTTGTATTTGTGCAATTGTTTTGTATTTGTGGAAGTGTTTTGTATTTGTGGAAGTGTTTTGTGATTTGTGGAAGTGTTTTGTGAATTGTGGAAGTGTTTAGTGATTTGTGGAAGTGTTTTGTGATTTGTGGAAGTGTTTTGTGATTTGTGGAAGAGTTTTGTGATTTGTGGAAGTGTTTTGTGATTTGTGCAAGTGTTTTGTGATTTGTGCAAGTGTTTTGTGATTTGTGCAAGTGTTTTGTGATTTGTGCAAGTGTTCTGTGATTTGTGCAAGCGTTTTGTCCCTATGAGCCACCGTAAGATCCTCATTATTTTTCCGCCGCCATTTCCACCAACGAGCATTGTTCAGCTTTTTTCTCTGTGCGCATGTATAAAGAAAATCTCAAAATAGACCTTTAAATGACAAACATGCAATATGAACAAAGGATATTGGGATATTTTTTCATTTTAACTGCCTCTCTCCATCCAGCCTGGAATCGTTTCTGTACTGTCTGTACTCCGTCTTCAAAGGAGATTTTGAAATCACTGACGCCAAAGATGAATGGGTGTTTGCTATCATGTATCTGTTACAGAAAATTGTTGCGCCTGGAGTGCGCATGTCACTAAAACTGCACCAGGTGAGCCGTACCAAAATGTTACTGACCCTCAGCTAGAATATTGTTGCGCTCATAAAATTAATATTGGTTTTGCGCATAGATGGCTGAAAATTTTGATTTAATTGAAAGACAAGGCAGAAGCAGATTTTTTTTTCAAACCGGGAATTGAAATCGAGAAGTTCTTCTGCTCTGACTTCCCTTGTAACGATATTTTCGAGGAGAGGTGAACGCCAATGCTTTGGTTTATTAATAAGTTACTAGCCTCTACTGCTTCAAGCGTCACCCTCATTTTACTACGCGTTCTTTAAAGGAAACAGACTACAACACTCAACATCGTTTTAACGATAAAACAAATAACCTGTCGTCTTTTTATTCTCATCATACAGGATCACTTTACCTCCCCGGACGAGTACGACGAACTTTCACTTCTAAACGAGCTATAACAGCTCACGAACAAAACATGGTCATCTCACACGAAGGAGATCTAATACCCAGTCTTTACTGGCGCTCAGGTCAGCTTCTATATAGAAGCACATAGTTTACATAAGGCACTGACCAGTATAAAGTGGACGAGCATACCGCCGGCTAATGAAATGGAGTTTTAATTTAATTTTTTTTTAAGATGGAAATCAGAATAAAGGATTGAAATATCGGGTCGGACAGTTCCTATTTATCAAGGAATTGTCCTCCTGACATAAGCAAATTGACCGCCTACTTCATAAATCGAAACGTTCATAGCCTTAATCTCTCCCTGGTTTTTGTTTTTGTTGTTTTTCTGTTTAGCTGTTGTTTAGTTTTGTTGTGTGTTTCTCATACTTTTGTTTGTTTGTTTGCTTTGTTTTGTTTTGCGTCTGTTTTTTCCTTTTCACTTTTTGATTTGTGTTTATTTGTTTTTTATTTTTGTTTGTGTGTGTGTGTGTGTGTGTTTCTTTTGCTCATTTTCTTGTGAATTGTTACCATGAACGTTTTGCTTGAATCAGTGTAGTCGTATGGAGTACAACTAGGTTTATTGGCCGAGTTTTTTCATACAGAAGAGTCAAAGTCAAGGATATGTAGTGTTTTGATCCAACAAAAATTTCCGCTTGCATGTGATTGGTTTAAACGTGTTACTTAACGGAATTTCGTTTACCTAATTCTGGGGAATATTCCACAAGTGGTGTTCCTCGATTTTTAGACCTTGTGTCTATGCGATGGAAGTATTTCTTTAAAAGCTGATTCAAGTTGGTAAGCGTTTTGCTGTAGATGAAAAAATCGTGTGCTTATGAGTATTTATGAATAGGCTAGTATTCGTTCTCTACGATAAGCTCTTGGTAAACCTTTTGTCCTTTTGAGCATTAAAAGAATATCGGAAGGGTAGTAAACGCAGCAGGCATCGTTTGGTTGTGAAGTATGCTCGCTATTTCTTCTTGAGCTTCGATCTTGAGAAATGTGCGCTCCTTGGAAAAAGGATGTCTGCGGACAAATTACCAAGCATATTTTGGCGGCAGGCAGAGACTGTTGTTTAGTTACGTTATTGTATATCCCTCAACTGAGTTAATCTCAACAGGGCATCATCTTCGTCATCGCAGTGATTTAAATTTCAGGGTTACTTCCCACCCTCAGAGGCCGAAAAAATTGTTTTTTCTTTTTTTGGACTAGATTGAAGTTAGACATTTTACATAACGTTTACAAAAAGAAAAATTTAAAAATCTCAAAAAGCGTCCAACTTATTTAGGAAAACGTCTTTTCAAATAAAAGTTAATAAATCAGGAAGGTGTCATAATCTAGTCAATGGCGAACCTATAGGAGAATATTCGCGGCAATTTCATGTTATTTGCATATTTTGTTTACAGTCCGCATTTGACAAAATTCACACGTGGAAGTTCTCTGTTAGAAGAAAGTCTTTTCTCATGGACAAAAGACATAAATCAAAATAAGAGAGGAGTCCTTGGGCAAAGGAAATAAAAAAAAACAGGCCCAAAGAAGAGAGAAATGGCACTATTTTGTCGGGAAAAAAAAGTTCTGGCTTCCTCTCCACGCTGACATCCAAATTGCGAACAAAGAAGGCGCCATCAGATCTACATACGGTTAAAAAAGAAGTTTCCTCTCAATAAGCAAGTACCGGCCTTGATACAAAAACATAAGCAATCGCCTCGAATCGTATGATAAACTGGAAAATCAGGAATCCGGAATTCCGCCGGAATTCTGCCGGAATATTTCAACGTCTGTTTTTTTATTCAAAACGACTCCGATGATTTTCCGAAGAGTGTACGAGCTCTGAATATACTCCGATGATTAACCCGAAGGTTATTCGAAGGTTTCCGAAGTTACCCGGACAGCCCTGAATTTTTGAAGGCTTGTTTTTTCAATTCTTCTTGTTTCTTTTTTCAAGATTTTCCGAAGAGAGTACGAGCTCCGAATATATACTCCGATGATTGACCGAAAACTATCCGAGGGTCCCGAAGTTACCCGGAGATCCTCGAGGAACAATCCAATCCCCAGCTTGATTTGTTTTTTATCGATTTTTTTTATTTCATTTTTTGTTTATTTTAAGTATTAACTTATCTATTTTTTTAACGTCCGTGAAACTAAATAATAAACAGCAAATCATTCGTCAAATTATAGATTAACATGGTCAGCGTCCCCTTAATCGAGATCTCGATTATTCATTAAAAGGGTACAAAGAAAATATAGCAATGCCTTAGTCATTCTGCCATTTAGATAATTTCAATTCCGGGAAAGCACTGCCTTACGAAAGGATAAGCTCTTCCGTTAGAGACAGGCCTCTCTCAGTTCTCCTCAACAGACCTTGCAAGTGGCCTGTATGGAAACAGTGATGACGTGTGCACAGACATGCTATGTTTAGCTTAAACATAGCATGTCTGTGCACAAGCCCAATGGGCTAAAAATTACGGTTAATACGATAGTATTTTCTTTGTGCTCTTCCTAACTTCCAACATTTAATGCCATCTAAGTACAAATTTGGATACCAGTCCAGCTCTACACGTCCAATGACTGCCATGCTATCAACAGGTTGAGAGTCTTTTTGAAAGCTTCCTTCACATCCGTTACATTTTGAGATGTTTCCTTTTAGCTTCATTTAAAAGAAAGGATTAGAAGATTCAGGAATGATGGGTTTCGGCGGTAAAGGAAAAACTTGGGGCACGGATGGTTGGATGGTTCAATTAAATGAAGTTGTTCTTCATGGAATAGCACAGGCAAACTCAGAGAAAAAAAAAAACTCCAAGAGCTGCCATTGAGACTCGAACCTACGAGCATCCAGTAAGTACTTTAGGCCCTCTGCCACTGAGCTATAGGAGACCCCATGCAATTTTTAATTATTAGCCGTTAAATAAGTTCATGGTGACAAACTGACTGTATACTTCAAGAAGAGGAACATCGATATGCGATGCTTATGCGCAGTAATGATATAAATAAAGGTTGTAGATATTGAGCTTGGTGATGTTAGTGAATGAAGATGTCCTTCGGAGAATAACAGGCATAGTCGGAGAGAAAAAGGGATCCAAGTGTTCCCAATAGGACTCTAACCTGCCACTGAGCTATTGCAGACTCGTGACAAGTTTGGTCATTTACCTAAGTCCATGGTGACAAAGTTCCTACATACTGCGAGAATAAGAATGTCGATATGTGATGCTTATGCGCGATGATGTTGTAAATGAAGATACATGGT